CTTCTGTATTTTTAGATGCTTCTTCCATTTATAGTTTGTGGTCCTAAAACCCCCACATATATCTATATATATATATATATATATATATATATATATATATATATATATATATATATATATATATATATATATATATATATACAAACACACTGATACATGTGTGTGTGTGATTTGTATAACATGATTGATGGCAAAACAAATAGGAAATGTTGGGGGAAGAAATGATCTATTTATTCAATTTAATTTTAATCTTATCTCCATGAAATTTTTTTTTTTTTTTTTTTTGTAACTCGTATTAAAAAATAATTTGAAAAAAAAAAATACACAGATGTGGACGGGATGGAATACTCGGGGGGGGATTTTTACGGGGATTGGGATGTGAATATTGAGACAGGGCGGGGACGGGGGATTGAGAAACCAACCACATTGCCATCCCTTATCGGTGTTCAAAACAACTAAATAGAACATCGATAAATTAATGCTTAATAAATTAATAATCTTGCTTAAATAATAATTTGTCTCGGTTCTGATTTGTTGACTATGTGTTAAATCATTAATTCGATAACTTAATATCTTGCTAAATTAATAAAAATTTTACTAGTAACAATTATAGTAATTTATTAATTATATTACGTAGTTAAACTATACGAAAAACTATTATTTTATTACTATTTGATGGGCCTTAGCCCAAAATAGTAATTTTAGATACCCAAACAGACCAACCTAAATTCAAACATAATGAGCACATTGTGACAACTAGGTGGAGTCTGGCAATCACATATGATGATGAAATTGATAGTCATTAATTCTTTTGATATTTTTTTATTTATTTATTAAAAAAAAAAAATCATTTAGTTTTTTTATTACCATCTAAAATATCATCAGGATTTACTAATAAAATAATTTTTATTTTAATGCTTAGAGCTTTCTTGCAAGAATGGATCTTGCATTGCTTGAGACAATGAAACGTGATGTACTATAATAGTAGCCAATTAAGTGGGGGCTCAAAACCTATTTTAGGATTTTAATCTCACTTTGCACGCTCAAAAACATTTAATAGCATTTTGTACCCTTAAAACATAATGAATCATGCATAATCGTCCATAATGGTTTTTTAAAGCTAATGAATGTAATTTAATATTTTTAATGGTATTGTAGTATTTCAAATCAATATTTTGCTATTCATCAGTCTTTTCGAAATTACAAGGTACAAAAATAAAAATACATCTCATCAACATATTTAAAATTTATACTTTTAACACAAAAATCTATTTTACAAAAATAATAGTAAAAAAAATTCATTCAACTATTTTGTTATCAATTTATTTGAAAATTATATTATCTTCCAAAAGTTAGACCAAATATTTTCAACAATTACGATAAAGATCCACCAATCGAATAATTTAGTGAGGAAACATTACGTTTATTTTTTGTGAACAAAATATATTCTTTCAACTAATCCGGGGTGATTTTTTTTTCCGCGCTTTGTACAAAACATAACAATTTAATTTGTTATTTTGCACCCTGGAAAAAAAAACCAATAAAAATAAAAAATAAAAGTGCTCTCGTTAGGTTTTAAACATTTGATTCAGGGTGCATTATGAATGATTTATTATGTGGAGGGCGCAAATTGCTATTAATTTTTTTGCAATGGTGCAAAGTGACAAAGTTCTTCATTTCAAAGGTTCAAAGTGAAATTAAACCATTATTGAGTTATTCAGCCAATAGTTCGTTCCCCAAACCTTGAATCTGGATTCTACTTTGCTAAATTATATTATAAAATATTTTATTTCATGAGTACACGTCAAATATAGAAATAAATTCATTTGTTTAATTATTTTACGTGTAAATAATTGTTTTGGTTTATTTACTTATTGTTACTTGTTTTCACGAGGTATGGCCGTATGGCACGCTTATAGCACGTGTCAATATTAAGATTCTTAACCAATGTGTATCTTAGGAATAATTCTTTCTGATTGAATCTCACAAACATGCTGACATACATGCATGACACGTGTAAAATATTTATAAAATTGCCCCTTTTTTTTTTATCTTATATCAACATTTGTATGTATATTTTCATAGTTTTTTTTAGCAATATATTTTTTGTAGTTTCATCAATTAATGTATATGAGTGCTTAAATTTCAATTTGAGAGACAACTATGGACTCAAGAATTCTATTATAATTAGAATTTACAAAAATAATAATAATACAATTAAACCTTTATAAATTAATACAGTTGGAATAGACAAAAAAATATCAATTTAGCAGTATATCAAATTATCATTAAATTATGTAGAACAAATCCATTTAAGTTCGTCCATGAAATTCATTAAGCTACTAGGTTATCTAAATTAGAGATTATTTTCAGATTCAATTATATAAACAAAAATACCAAAAAACAAAAAATGAAATATTAAATATACCGAATGTAAAATAGGGTTTATACTTATGTTACATCGGGTGAAACACACGGGTAAGATCTTTACCATTTATATCAAGGTTCTAAAAAGTGGTTATCGGGTCCGAGGCGGTTAGAGATCGCCACACGATAAATCGGTACAGCGGTGATTAATCAGTGATAAGTCGGAAATAAATTGATTTTTACATTTAGTATACTATTTTTCTAAATATTATTTGTAAATACTCAAAATATATATTAAAAAATATTTGAACATGATTTTCGTTCAAACAAATTGGGTTGAAATTTGAAAAAATTAGAAAATATAAAACCCTACATTCTTTTCCTTTTAATTAAAAAAAAAAGAAAAAAAACAAATATTTTTATCTGATTTGTTGTCCCGATATAACAGTTTGACCCGTCTCACACCGTTGGATACCGCCTAACCATCCAAAAATCGATTTTTCAAACCTCCTCACCAATATCGTAAAGGTTTACGATTAATGTGTGTAGATCGACAGTGAAAAATCACCGTAGGGAACCGTGCATAGCATAAAATTGAGCCTAAAAGAGAGTCCTAATTACAAATGGTATGTACGTGCCCGGCCACATATACACGTCTACATACAAAGTAGACTCCTATATTATATCAACTACACCTACAATAATTAACATAAATATTATTATTTTATATATATATAATATATATACAATTAAAAATAATCATATAAAATCAGAAAATAACTAATATAAATAAGTTAAAATCCCTTTTCCTTTTCCTGCTCTACCCAAAGACTCTGGGGATGTTTGGTTTTATTTCCAAAACCAATTTCCAGTTCTATACTATTCATAAAACCGAGATCATGTTTGTTTCACAATTTTATCCAGAAAATCCCATTTTTTCCTATCAAATTTCTATTGAAAATACACTATTCATATTTTTTTCAATTTTCAAACCTACTAAAACCTACTACTAACCTATATATTTTATTCCACCAACTCATTTCTCTCTTCTCATTAATATTCACACTCTCTCTCCTCTCATTTCTCTCTCCTCATTAATATCTACACTCTCTTTCCTCTCAATTTACTGATAATAATAATAATAATAATAATAATAATAATAATAATAATAATAATAATAATAATAATAATAATAATAATAATAATAATAATAATAATATTGTTATTGTTATTAAAAATAATATTCATTGTAGAAGTAGTAATAATAATAATAATGGCAATAGTAATAATAATACTAATAAATAATAAAATAATAATAATTATAATAATATAAGAATAATAATAATAATAATAATAATAATAATAATTATTATTATTATTATTATTATTATTATTATTATTATTATTATTATAATTATAATAATCATCATCATCATCACTATCATCATCATCAATCATTATATTCTACTTTTGCACGTACTTTCGTAGAGAAAATTCACCACAACCAAACATATTCTCATTTCTACACCTACATAAAACTAAAAATACACCTTCATCCAAACATATTCCCATTTTCTACACAAAAACCAATAATCTACTTTTTCCATCAGAAATTTTGAAAACTAGAAATTCATTTTGGAAACATAACCAAACATCCCCTCTTCCTTCTCCGTGGAGCAAGATAAAAACAAAACACACACTAAAACACGCACACACACACACACGGAACTATATATATATATATACCTACACCGGCGGCGACTGCGGTGGTTGCTTTCTCCGGTCCGAGGTTATTTATTTTTTTACCGATGCAAATACGATATTAATATTTTTGGAGTTGCGGAAAAAAAAAAAATTAAAAAAAAAAAGGGTTTGACAATATTATAATCTAATCAATCATCCATCGTTCGGAGATCACTTCACGCCATTGTTGGAAGGAAACAGCTATACATACACGAAGGTATATGCATATATTAAGCACAATCGCGCAAGCATAACACGCAGCAAAAATTATAAATTAAAAAAATTAAATTCAGATGGGTTTCGTGTTAGACTTTATTTTCTCTCTAGCTGTGGGTTGGGATTCGTCTTCTTCTCTTCTCCGTATCTGTTTGCTATCGGTTTTTTTGTATTTTAGTTATTGAAGGGCGTTAATTTTAGGTAGTTTAAGTGGATTTTTCTGAATCCCTGTAGTTATTTTTATTTGAATTTTGGAATTTTATGTGATGGTGTGCTTTTTCTGTTGCTTGATTGCAGGGATGCATTATAATTGTGAGTAAAGTTTGTATTTGGTATTGATTATCGGTGGGTGTGTTGAAGAAAGTAGCTGTTTGAAGAAGGATTCTTCTGGTTAGACGGTGGGCGGTGGCAATTGGAAATTTTCGTTGGGTTTCGGCGAAAATTCGATTAATTGCAGATCTCTGAGGAGGGTTTGGGATTAATTGAAGTTTAATTAGTGAAATTTGTATTGGGCTCTAGCTAATTGGGGTTCTTTTGGAGGTGATTAAAGGATCTTGTTAATTTCTGCTGATTTTTGCCATCCGCTGTGAATCTTCGTCAGTGATGCATTTTTGGGGAAGTTCTTGATTTTGAAAGGTTTTACGAAAGATGAGTTCTTCGGGAGGTGTAGTTCAAATGGGAAAGCTTGTGGTTCACATTTCGGAGAATGGGCACTCGTACGAGCTCGACTGTGACGAATATACCCTTGTCGAAGCAGTGCAGAAGTTTCTAGAATCAGTGTGCGGAATCCCCTCAAATGATCAGCTTCTTCTATGCTTGGACATGAAATTGGAATCTCACCGCCCGCTCTCTGTTTACAAGCTCCCATCTGATGAAAGGGAAGTATTTTTATTCAATAAATCAAGAATGAGGAGCAATTCGCCATCTCCTCAATCGGAGCACATTGAAATTGTCGATATACCCGATCCACCATTGCCATCTTCCTCTCAAAAGCCTCATCCACTGGACGATGCTCCGGATCCCGCGCTAAAAGCCTTGCCTTCGTACGAGAGGCAGTTCAGATATCACTTTCAGTGTGGGCATGCTATTTACAGCCGTACGGTTGCTAAATACGAAACCTGTGAGAGGCTGTTGCAAGAGCAGAAGGTGCAAGAACGGGCTTTGGAGATTGCTAGGGGGAATTTGGACTATTTTTACAGGATTGTGCTGCAGAATTATACGGATTTTGTGAAGTGTTACTCTCAGCAGCACCGTAGCCATACGAGCCTTTTGGTGAACTTTGGGAGGGATATGGAGAAGTTGAGATCCATTAGACTTATTCCAGCCTTGCAAACTGCAAATAGGAAGTGTTTGTTGGATTTTGTGAAGGAAGAGAATATAAGGAAGACTGTGGAGGATTGTAGCGGTTCGCACAGGCAGTTTGAGAACAAAGTTTCGGAGTTTAAGCAGGAGTTTGGTGATTTGAAGCGCAACACGGAGAATTTGTTCTCTGGGAAGGCTTCGTTTCTTGTCAAAGACTTGGATTTGGCAATAAAAGACCACCAGCGGTATATCAATGAGCAAAAGAGCATAATGCAAGCTCTAAGGTGTCTCTCTCTCTCTCTCACACACACACACACATGCCATGTATTTTATATTTTCAACTTTTTGCTGCTAATATTTGGTTGGTAAGTCAAGTTCCGTAAAATTAGTATTATACAAAGTGTTTGTCGGCGCTTCCAGAGAAACTGTGCTTAGCGACAATATTGAATGCTCTGTGTTTGTACTTTGTAACCGACTCTTACATAATACGTGGCTTTGTGTTTTATGTGACGTGAGAAATTGGTATTTGTATTTGGTTTATTAGACAGCGTGGTCCACAAAATGGATTTATGATGTATGAGATCTTGACGTCTCCTACCAAATTTGTATATTTGGATTTTTTCTTTTTAGAACTACGACTCACTATAAGGTAACATGCTATAATTTTGTCGTAATTCCACTTAAAAACCGAGTAGATGTAGAAAGCGGTTTTGTGTTTGGACATGAGCCTTGATGCCAACAACTTTTCGGCTGTCTGCTTTGGAAACCTATTATAATTGTTACAAAGCAGAACATATTTTAGACTTTCAGTTAGGCGTGACAACAAATTAATTGGTTCCGTTTTAATCATTATTTCCGTCTATGGTGAAAAGCAGATTATACATAAGATTCTGATATTTCTGAGTAGCCATTAACAGAATAGGGAAAGGCCATAGAAGGGCATGTAGATGGTATCAGAAAGATGTATTCTTTGGCTTGATTTTTAAGCAGGTTCGATATATATATATATTTATATATATACATATTGTTTAACTCAATTTTTGTTACGGTGCAGCAAAGATGTGAACACCGTAAAGAAGCTAGTGGACGACTGCCTCTCAAGCGAGCTGTCATCTTCACTTCGCCCGCACGATGCTGTTTCTGCTTTAGGACCAATGTACGACAGCCACGAAAAAAATTACCTCCCAAAAATGCAAACGTGCGACCGCTCGATCTCCAGCCTCCTAGATTTCTGCAGAGAGAGAAAAAACGAGATGAACATCTTCGTTCACAGTTACATGCAAAAGATCGCTTACATTCAGTACACCATCAAAGACGTACGCTACAAGTTCTCCGTTTTCCAAGAGGCTTTGAAGCGTCAGAACGACCAATTCGAGCACCTGAAAGTCGTACGAGGAGTGGGGCCCGCTTACAAGGCTTGCCTCGCCGAAATAGTCAGAAGAAAAGCAGCTATGAAGATCTACATGGGTAAAGCTGGCCAGCTGGCGGAAAAGCTCGCAACAGAGAGAGAAATTGAAGTTAGGAGGCGTGACGAATTTCTGAAAGTGCATAACACTTATATTCCTCGCGACATTTTATCTTCGATGGGGTTGTACGATGCACCTAGCCCATGTGACGTCAATGTAACCCCATTCGATACGAATTTGCTTGATATAGATCTTTCGGATGTTGACCGTTATGCCCCTGATTCACTTTTAGGACCCTTTTTAAAGAGTGATAAGCTGAGGAGATCTCTTTCGGTATCGAACGATGGCTCTCAGTCAACCGAAGTCGAAGACTTTCACGAGAAGTACGATTTTCAGGACTCACACGAAGAATCGGAGCTGGTGGAGATTGCGGGTACTAGCAAAATGGAAGTGGAGAATGCGAAACTGAAAGCCGAACTCGCTGCCAAAATCGCCCTTTTGTGTTCGATGAGTTTCGAGTTCGATTACGAATCTCTCGACGAGGGTAAATTGGAGAATTTGTTGAAAGATTCAGCTGAAAAGACTTCGGAGGCTTTGCATCTCAAAGGCGAGTACGAAAAGCACCTCAAATCGATGCTGAAGCTGAAGCAGATGCAGTGCGAATCTTACGAGAAACGTATTCAAGAATTGGAGCAAAGGTTGTCCGATGAATATGTGAGAGGGCCTAAGCTTTCGGGCGGCGAGGAGGAATCTATTTCTGCTGTTTCAATTGGGAAGGTTGATCATGATAAAGGGCAAGAAGGGTTGGATGATAATATGGCGGATTCTTCGACTATCGTAAATCCAAATTTGGATTCTTCAATGCTGGATATAAACCGTGACAAAGGGTTTGTTTGTGACAAGGATAAGAAGGAAACACTTGCTGCGAGTAATATGGCTGTTAGCATGACACAACCAGTGGATGAAAGAGGTGATGAAACGGCTTTGGATGATGGTAAAGTAAGTGATAGTGTTGTAATGGAGTTGCAAAATGCGGTAGCGGAAAAAACGAGTCAGTTAGAGGATACAGAAATGAAGATTCGAGGATTGATGGATGAGGTTTCGAAGCTTGGAAGGGAGTTGGAGATTAGTCGAAAGCTACTCGATGAGTCTCAGGTATATTACTAAATGATTCATGAGTTCCTTACATTTTTCTTTTTGTTTTTTATGGCCACATTTAAATGTTTCTTAAGCTATGCATCCGTACTACAACTTTCATTTTGCCTGATTCCTGATTGCATCAAGTAATCTGCATTTTGACAAGGAATAACAAATTGAAAAGTACGGTACTTGTGAAGTCAGATGAAACTAGGATTTAAGAGACTATTCAAGATGCTAACAGCCGAATTAAATAAATCTTTGGTAGCCGAGGTGTCAGTTGTTTTTTCTTTTCTTTTATTCGGAGAAACAAAACTAGAAATCTACATTTTAGAGGACGTACTCGTTTGGAAGCTAGATTTGGGAGGAATTGTTTTGGGGGAAGAATTTGAAAAAATTGGGTACTGGGTACTATACTATAACAGACTTGTTGATATGTGTACTGTTATGATTTTGCTTTTACATATAATGGATTAAAACACTGGTTTTTGCAATTCAGATGAACTGTGCCCATTTGGAGAACTGTCTGCACGAAGCTAGAGAAGAAGCTCAAACCCATCTCTGCGCAGCCGATCGAAGAGCTTCACAGTACAGCGCACTGCGTGTCTCTGCTGTTAAGATGCGCGGTCTTTTAGAGAGACTAAGGAGCTGCGTTTTGTCAGCTGGTGTCGCCACTTTTTCCGACTCTTTATCTGCTTTAGCTCAGTCTTTAGGAAGGTAAAATTAACTAAATGCTTCTTCTTCTTTTCTTCCTTAGCCTTTGGCAATGTTTTTGTTGCTAATGGCAATTTGCTGCTCGATTGAAATGCCCCTTTTGTTTCTTTTTCTTAATTATTATTATTATTTACAGTGGTGCTGCAAATGAAAGTGACGATGATGGTACTGCTGAGTTCCGTGAGTGTCTAAGAGCACTAGCTGATAAAGTGGGCATTTTGTCGAGGCAGCGTTCAGAATTGCTCGAGAGACACTCGAAAGCTGAAGGTGCGAATGAGAAGCTGAGCAAGGAGTTGGAAGAGAAGAAAGAGTTGGTCAACACTCTCTACATAAAGCATCAACTTGAAAAGCAGGTCAGCTTATAGCTTTTTATGTCTTGATTTGGCATCTTACGTAGTGCATCAATTTAGGCATCGTTTGCGGATTAGGATAGGACTTGGTCGAATATATAATTAGTTGTGGATTTTAGGGAATAATTAGTTGTCGACAATACCCTTTTAATTAATTTGATATCGAGTAGTAGTATCAGTATGGTAATTTACCATTACCATTCGGTATAAAAAGTTTAGAAAATCGGTATGGTTCCGTAGGGCAATTTGGTAAAATAAATAAATCAAGGTTCGTCATATATTTGGGGTTTAAGTTTCAAGCCGACGAAAAAACATGCCGGAATTTTAATCAAGCATATGAAGGATATTTATATCTTAACCATTTCGATATAATCATAACCAAAATCAATTTTGTCAGTCCCATCAGAATTTCCAAACGAGGCCTTATACTTGAAACATCTTTGTGTCTTATCTGCTTATATATTATTACAGGCGAACAAAGAGAAGATATCTTTTGGCCGTTTAGAAGTCCACGAGATAGCTGCATTTGTCCTCAACACTTCTGGCTATTTCGAGGCTATAAATCGAAATTGCCCTTATTACTATCTCTCCTCAGAGTCAGTAGCTTTATTCACCGACCATCTCCCGAGCCGACCAAACTACATCGTAGGGCAAGTTGTGCACATCGAACGACAGGTGGTGAAATCACCACCGTCGGATTCGGATCGTGAGATTGGGTTGACTTTGACTTGTGGAACGGGCTCGAACCCCTATGGTCTTCGTGTGGGATGTGAATACTTTGTAGTGACCATAGCCATGTTACCTGAGACCACTATTCATTCACTTCCTTGCTGATCTTTTTTTTGTTGCTAATTGGTGGCAGATTAGATGTGATGTGATGGAAGTTTAAAAAAAAAAACAAAGTGTAAATATTTTTTTATTTTATGGTTTTTCTTTTTAATTTTTTTTTTTATTTATTTATCGTTTGATTTTCTTTTCTTTTCTTTTTCTTGTATAGCTACTGAACTAATTCAATCCATCTCTTTGTACATATACTTTGGCATCCAATGTACATTTGCCAACACTTTTTATTTTATTTTATTTTAATCAACTATTGCTTCAAGTATTTATTGTTTTATTCTAGGATTATTTTTGTGCATTTGAAGAATACAAAGTCTTGATATAGTATGTGTGGTTGCAAAAGCTTTTGAACATGGCTTTTATTTCGTGTAAATATTGTATTTTTTTGTTAGATCGGTTTTCTGTTACTGTTCTGTTAAGTGATGCTACGGTTGTAAAATTATAAATAAAAAAGACGATTTAATGAGATTCGGAAATAATTGTATTCTAAATCTACGAGGAAATGAATTTCCACTATTACTTCCTCCGTCCCCTATTGTATGTCGTTGTCGTCGTCTTGGATGGTTGCGCGCATATTAAGAAACTCAATAAATATGCATAGATTATATATAGGGAAATAACATAGTATTTTACTGAAATACCATTATCATTAATTATTTTTCAATTAACTCATTTAGAGTAATTGGGGCAAAATTGATAAAAATGCAATTAATGTTTTATTAAAACTCTAAAATAACAAATAATTTGGGACAAAAAAAAAACGTAAATTAAAGACTTTCTTTCAAAACTACTGATTCTGATTATGTCAAGCTCTTCCACTCTGCACGGTTGAACTTCCTTCAACGTTCAGTCGGCGAATCGACCTACCGAGATCTTTTAAATCCCTCTCCCATGGATTCGGTCTTCTTTTTGCGTAGAGGATGAAAAACTTTGAACTTAATTGTTGCTGAGTCCTTTAGTCGCAGCAAAAGTAAAAGAGCATAAATCTTCTCTCGTCAAATAGGTGTTTCTCTAAACTGGAGCACTAAAACTACTCCTCTTTTATAACTTGTGAAGGCCTAGAAAAATTCTACGAAAATAAGACTACGCACAAGACAAGAAAATAAGACTGCTCCTCTTTCAATAATTTAACATTTTTTGTATTTTTCGTCAATTTTTCGCTAGTACTAACGGAATCAAGCATGCGCCCACCACTCTCTTAACTGAGTGGCTGATTGTAAATTGAGGAAAATGACCAAAAGTTTTAAATCATTGAAATATGAGGGACGAATTATATTTTTTGTGAACATGAGGACCAAATGTAGAATCTGTGCAAATTGAAGGGGCGAAAACTGTAATTTTCACAACTGTATATCAGAAATCCAATTGCCCAACTGTAGCTTTGTTTCCTCCACTTCTTTCAAACTTCCGTTATCCCCTCTCTCTCTCTCCTCTCTCTCTCTATACACTTCCACTCTCCGATCAAAGGTACGATTTTTACTCGCTTATCAGCTGAACTCCGCTTACTTGAATCTCAATTAAGAATCGAATATCTTCATTTTCATTTGCTACCGATTCCAATCAATGATGATGATGAAGATGAATTCGAAGAATTAGTACCAATTGAAGCAGAGGCCACTGAATTCCATGGCCTCTCTGAAACTCTCTGTTTATCCAGAACAAAACTCTTTCCACGAGTCGAAGAAACTAACTTCTGCTGTAATTCCCTTCAAATTTGCGTCTAGCGTTTTGTTTTCGGGCTATTTCAGTACGAACGGGGGGGCGCTCATTGTGAAGCCCTTTTGTGAATTGAAGCACATTAGGGTTTCTAAGCTGAGGGATGAGTTTTTAGATACCTCCGATTCGATATTGGATGGCTATTCGATCGATAATCTGGAGAAATGTGTCGACGCCGCCGATGATAATTTGATTGTACAAGAGCAAAACTCCAATGGGGAATTCGATAGAGCGAGGATAGATATCTGGAAAACGTTCCGCGGTGTGAATAAAGCGAGGAGGAGCGCCAATAGAAATTTGGATACTCGTAGAAACGGTAGTAAATACAAGAAGGGCGAAAAATTCACAACTCCATTCGAAAGAGACCGTGTTTTGGGTGGTGATCAAACTTTGGTGGATATAGATTTGGATGATGTGGGGCCCGATTTGAGCTCCGAGCGTTGCAATCTGATCTTAGAACAGCTCGAGAGAAGCAATGACAGCAAGGCATTGACGTTTTTCGAGTGGATGAAAGCTAATGGAAAGTTGAAAAAGAATGTGGCTGCGTATAATTCGATTCTCAGGGTTTTGGGTAGAAAAACGGATTGGAATGGAGCGGAAATCATGATTAAGGAGATGATTAGCGATTCGTCTTGCGAGCTTAATTATCAGGTTTTCAATACCCTTATATATGCTTGTAATAAGAGCGGGCTCGTAGATATGGGTACTAGGTGGTTTAAGATAATGTTGGATTATAATGTTCGGCCAAATGTTGCTACTTTCGGAATGCTGATGTCACTCTATCAGAAGGGTTGTCATGTTGAGGAGGCGGAATATACCTTTTCCCGTATGAGGAATCTGAAAATAATATGCCAATCTGCTTATTCGTCTATGATCACAATCTATACACGCACGAGATTGTATGATAAAGCAGAAGACGTTATTCGCTTCCTCAAAGAAGATGAAGTTGTCTTGAACAAGGAGAATTGGTTGGTTGTGCTCAATTGTTACTGCCAGCAGGGCAAGTTAGACGACACTGAGCTGGCGCTTCGTGCGATGAAAGAAGCCGGTTTCTCTCCGTGTATAGTTGCGTACAACACTATGATCACTGGATATGGGCGAGTTTCGAGTATGGATCAGTCAGAGCGATTATTAGACAACCTTAAAGAAACTGGTCTTGTACCCGATGAAACGACGTATAGGTCGTTGATTGAAGGCTGGGGTCGGATGGGCAATTATAACAAGGCAAAATTTTACTATATGGAACTCGTGAAGTTTGGGTTTAAGCCCAATTCATCGAACTTGTACACATTGATAAGATTGCAAGCCAAGCATGAAGATGAAGTGGGAGCCATTAGATCTATTAATGACATGTTGATGATTGGTTGCCAAAAGTCATCCATACTCGGGATTGTTTTACAGGCGTACGAGAAAGCTGACAGGCTTATAAAGATGTCTGCAGTTTTGGAAGGTCCTATGTACGATCATGTTCTTAAAAACCAGACTTCTTGCACGATTCTTGTTACAGCTTACGTGAAGAGTTCTTTGATTGATAATGCAATGGAAGTTTTGCGTAAAAAGAAGTGGAAGGATCGTGTATTTGAGGATAACTTGTACCACCTTCTAATATGTTCGTGCAAAGATTTGGGCCATCTTGAAAATGCTGTGAAAATATTCACTTGCATGCCGAAATCTGACAAGCCAAACATGAATACATTCTGCACGATGATTGACGTGTACAGTAAAATGGCTTTGTTTTCCGAGGCGGAAAAGCTTTATACAGAGCTGAAGGCTTCGAATATCAAACTGGACATGATAGCCTTCAGTGTTGTAATAAGAATGTACGTGAAATCGGGGTCCTTAAAAGAGGCGTGCGCGGTTCTTGAAATAATGGATGAAGAAAAAAATATTGTGCCTGATGTTTACCTTCTTCGTGATATACTTCGTATTTATCAGAGGTGTGGAATGGAAGATAAATTGGCAGATCTTTACTACAAAGTGTTGAGAAATGGTGAAATTTGGGATGAGGAGATGTATAATTGCGTCATAAACTGCTGTGCTCGTGCGCTGCCGGTTGATGAGCTGTCGAGGCTGTTCGATGAAATGCTCCAGAGAGGATTTTTGCCGAGCACCATCACGTTCAATGTGATGCTGCATGTTTACGGAAAATCGAGGCTGTTCGAAAAGGCGAAGGGTGTGTTTTGGATGGCTAAAAAACGAGGCTTGATTGATGTTATTTCTTACAACACACTCATAGCCGTTTACGGGAAAAATAAGTACTTAAAGAACATGTCGGCCGCTGTAACAAAAATGCAGTTCGACGGTTTTTCGGTTTCTCTAGAAGCCTACAACTGCATGCTGGACGCGTATGGAAAACAAGGCGAAATGGATAAATTCAAAAGTGTTTTGCAGAGGATGAAGCTTTCGAACTGTTCTTCCGATAGATACACTTACAATATCTTGATTAATATATACGGAGAGAAAGGGTGGATTGAAGAAGTTGCTAATGTGTTGGCGGAGTTGAAAGAATATGGAATTGGACCCGATTTGTGCAGCTATAATACGTTGATAAAAGCGTACGGAATTGCAGGTATGGTTGAAGATGCTGTGGCGTTGGTCAAGGAAATGAGAGAAAACGGAATAGAACCCGATAGGTTAACTTATACTAATCTGATCACTGCACTAAGGAAAAACGACATGTTTCTCGAAGCTGTGAAGTGGTCCTTGTGGATGAAGCAAATGGGGCTGTGATGCTTTTCGTACCAGACTTTATCGTGGTATGAACTTTTTTTTTTTATTTAAGACCTATTTAGTAGCTTCACTTAGAAATCAATGCAATAAGAAGTCAGTGACAAAATCGCACTTTTTTTTTCTTTTCTTTTTTTTCTTCAGGTAGTGGCTATAATCTTTGTTGTGTAGTGAAATGAGATATTCAACTTCGAACGAAATGCTGAGGTTCCGTTGAGAACAACGAACTTTTTGAAGAGACTGTTGTTTTTAACAATAAGGTCGAGCGATCGTAATTTTAACTCATATGTCGAGAGATATTTTAGTTGTATCAGGTTATGTAGTTCAATAGCAGGGTTTCTACACTTTTTGATATATAGTTAGATAGATTCGTTTTCGTTGTTAATTTTCCTCGTTCGATTTTGTATTCCCACAGCCTTCGACTCTCAGTCATTTGTATCGCATCATTCCATAAAGACGGGATAAATACTTATTTACACACAACCAAATACATAATAATAATGTTTCCTAAATCTGAAAGACAACTGAAGAGAGAAGAGTTGCACCAATCCTATTCTTGCACTATCAATCATTATCAGGACCCTTCATAAACCTCGATTTCAGAATCCTATCTCAACACCCAAACCGCACTTAACCAATCAAAACACTTCTAAACCAACCGAGGATACAAACCAAAATCAGCTACATAGCTATCAACATATACATAATTATATATAAATATCGATGGATCAACAAATAACTATATGTATATGTAGAGCTTAGTATTCACCATCTTCTTCTATGCCAAACAAGAACTTTGGAAGTTTCGGAAGAGAAGCAATACTCGGAAGATGGCTAAGCAAGTCACTCAACGAGTCTTTTCTTGTCAAGCCAGGTGCTGCCGGCTTTAAATTCCCATCAGAGACCTTCTCATTTGTACAGGAGTCGCTCACAAAGTCAAAGCACGCGTTCTTTCCTCGATTATCAGCAGTTTTGTAATGGTTTTCTCCATCATTGGAAGCTGTGACAGGATCCTGTAGTAAGCAGCAAAGAGAATTCACCTTTTTCATGAGCGACTTTTCGTCCAATCCCGTTGCACAATTGTTGTCGCTTAGCAAAACTTGGGCGATGTTTTCCAGCATGTCATGGCATTCTGATGCAGTTTCTGAGGGTAAATTTCCTGAGGTCATCTGCTCTGAAATACAGTTTTCGATCTGGTTCACAAGATCACTCATTGACATTGAGGGGCGTAGCCCTTGTATCTTCAACGAGTCCCGGCTTTTTTGTCCTTCCATTGCTTGGGTATCCATCACTACTGGTGTTAAAGAACATGATCAGTTATAAGTTGTATAAAAAATACGAGGAAATATGATAAGGCAACCAGAAATTATTGGACATTATAGAAGTTATAAGAAGTGTATTATTCAGCTTTCGCCTTTCAAGAACTAATAAAAGGCTGAAGTGGAAGCACAAATGAAGCAATTGATATTCTTGCCAACTTCTCCATCATGGTTTACTGTTTTTATGATTAAAAACCAACGACTATTAGATTTGAGAATGATTGCAATGTTCATTATATAGATGATTATAGCTAGGATCTGAAAACAACCTTCACATATCCCAAAAATAGTAAATCAATTAAACCTGTAAGGCTATGATTAAAGACCAAGTTCCAAATCCACTAGAATAAATAAATAGAGAAAAAGAATTTTGACAAGAAGAAATTAAGTACCTGAGCTAGGTGATGCCGCTTCTTTAGAAACATTTTGAACTGCTAAAGAATTCTGTCCAAAACTGGAGGAAGATAACTGTGCAGTAGCTTCTGGTGCCGTATCTTGAAATACGGAGATGGGGGATCCTTTAGCAACTGCTGGCAGCTGATTGGATCCATCGCCTTTAGATTCTTCTGAATTTTCGGAAAGAGAAGGTTGTGGTTCGAAGAATGGCGAATCCATAACTAGTTCAGGTTGTCGGCTCAAAATATTAAGACGCATGTCACATTGGATAAGCTTCTCATAATGCTTGTCCAGCACGCCTGGAGGGCACTGTATGTAATGTTGCCTGTTCAGATAACATCAAAGATTCATCAAATTAAGGAAATAGTCAGCCTCTATTTTCAACTTACGAAGATACAGGTAAGACCTTTTCTATCAATCATCTACACTTAGTACGGCCATGATTTGGTAAATTAAATATTGATCTTAAGTTTCATGGCATGCAGTCTTCTCCAAAGTTTGTCATTCTTCATAGATACAAGAAAATTGAAATCCCGACCATGTTATGTCCTGCAGGAACTTGGAAGCCAGTGCATTGAACTTTGGTTTATTTTGTGTTTGAGAGAAAAAACGACCACGGTTATGTAAAAGCATTACCATTACAGTGAAGGGAAATTAAGAAATTTTCAAGTCAGAAATAATCATGAAGAAACAATATTCAAGCACGGATGACAAAAGCCCAAGGATTGGCTTACAAGGCAGACACAATCACTTAGAAAGCAAAGTACAGTCACGTTTTACAGCAATCTACATAAATCCATTTTAAAGATGTTGGACCATGTCTCCTTACATTAAAATACAGAAATATGTGTGAACTCACAAATCATTCAGTCATGTGATTTATGTAAACGATAGGTCAAAAAAATCATGGAAGACCAAAAAGAACAAGGTTAGACAAGCAGCAGCGATTATTAGCACAAGTTCAGATTGTGCTGTGAAAATGAAAAAGGATATAGAAATCTAATGGCTTACTTGTTTATGCTAGCCTGTTCATCAGTAAAATCGGTGGTTGCCTGCCACAGAGTATGTTTTCTGGGTTGTGGATTGGTCTCCCGGTAAAAGACAGGTGGCCGAGCTAACTGGAAAACACAATTTAAAAAAAATGAGTTATTTTTTCATCAAGAAAATAACAATAATCACCTATTCTAGTAGTTGAAAACGTCTATACGAGACAGGTAAAGTAAGATGAGTACCACTATGGTTATACTGCCGGGAGCATCACTAGGACAGTCAGCTTTCAGAGCTGTAATATCAGACCACTGGATCTCGATTTTACTCTTTAGACCACCTTCAAGAACTTCCCAGACAAGCTTATGCTTCGCAAAATAACACTTCGCCACCAGATCACCTTCATATTTTGACACATACTGCAAGAAAATCCGGTATCAGAAATAGGCAGGAAATGACACATTAAACACCAATACATATAAGGCAAAGTTCATAAACAGTACCTCCCAGCTGCCGATTCTCAATAACGAAGCGGGAAAATTCGAAGCCTTCAACTTGTCATTAGCACTTGAAGCAGTACTCCCTTTGACCTCTTTCTTGATTCCAGAGTCAGCAATTTCACTAGGTGTCATCGAGACTGAAGCACTACCTCCTTGAGAGAGCCTCATTTGGATCAAATCCAACAATGACGGACTTTTTCTGAGCCTCAAACCCAACGGGCTTGGCTCGTCAAGTGGATTGTACTGCGAAGCCGGGACTGCAAACACATGGTTCCCTGTGCTCAACTGTTTAAAAATAACACACAAAATTTCAACAGTGAGTGAACAACAACCAAATAATATAAGGTAAATAAAAAATACAAAATTGAACAACCCACACTCATGGACACATATATAAGCACGTACAAAAAGTATTAGAAAAAAAAATTATCAATGTAGCTATGCTTCTTCAAACACCATGAATTTTGTTCAGAATCAGTCAAACACTTGGGACAAATTAATGGAAAACTGTCAATTACAGGAGCTTCATTTCTCTTCAACCTATTTTCAGACTCATTTATCAGCCACCACCAAATAAATAAATTAATTAATTAAAAAAAACCCTAAACCATGATCTCGAAAACCATATTTAATAACGATTAAAAAAATTAAAACCCTAAAAAACTCGACCAATTACAACAAACAAAAAAATAAATTCTAAAAAAGGAAGACCTGATCAAGAGGGGCGGTGGCGAAACGAGACCGTTTCGCGAGAGATGCATACTGTTCTTCAGTAAAATCCTCAATACTCTGTGAATGCAACGATCCCATCAGCTGAACCATCAAAATAAAAATTAAAAAAAAAAAAAAAAAACCTTCACAGATTCCCGGAATCAAAACTGAAACCCCAAATCCCAAATGCAAATTCAGAATTTCAATTTTGATATAAAATTAAAATGCAATAGCTTTCTCCCCAAACGCCCAAAAGTGAGAGATTTTTCAGTATTTTATTTGAATTTTTTGGGGGTTTTGTTCTTCAGAAGAGAGAGAGAAGGGGGGAGAAAGCAGAACCGATTTTCGGAAAGTTTGGAAATGGATTCATTTTTTTTGCAGTCCAGGATTTATATAATACTTTTCTCAATGGATTCAGGTGATCCTGTGAATTGACCAACTTACCCTTTTTATAAAAAGTGATGTCCACTCCTTTCCAGACTGTCTTATTAAATTATATTTGCTTTTTTTTTTTTGCCTCCAATTTTGTATTTATATTTGGTAATTGACATAATTCGTATTTATTTTGTCGAAATTCTATTTTTTATTTTTGTAAATATTAAGAAAAGTGACAAATATGAAAGGATTATAGGAAAAATAAAGTGGCTATTAATTTTTTTTCGACCGAAGAAGAGTAATGAGGGATAAATTTGAGAAAAGTGCAACTAATATATCGTTAGAATTTCCTTTTTGGTTTTTTTTTGGAGAAAACGAGTCGTCATAATTCTAAAACGACAAATAATTTAGAAAAGAAAGATTGATAGTGACAAATTTTTAACCCTCTTATCTAAAAGTTGAATAATAATATATTGTAAAAATCTGAAACAATAAATGCAGGACAAATTTTAGAAAACGCGTATTATATTTTTCTTAATCTTGACTATTAACCTCACCCATATAGTCGACATTCTTAATTTTACACCTAAATCGGATACGATTAGTAGAATCGTGTATCAGATTTTGGCGTAAAATAACATATTTTCTTCTTCTTTTTTCTTGAAATTTATTATTTATATTGAAAAATCTACCTCGCTCACGATTGAATTATTATCCACATGATATAAAATGTGTCTTATTGGTAATTAATAATTCAAAATTACTATAAAATAATATTATTAAAAAATTACATAAAACATTGTGATAATAAGATGTGATGGGTATAAAATTTTATTTTATTTATCATATGTAAAAACATATGCATGTATGCATTTTTTAGGATTTCAAATAACAATATTTTTTTTGGATAACCTTCCGATTTCACAATGAAAACAATACTTTGCGGGCCTCGTTTGATTGCCCAAATAAGATTGGTTGAGATAAAATTATACAATTTTATAATAATTTATCTTTATTTTTATTGGTAATAAACAAACTCGCAGCCTAACATATAGGTGCACTTCTACAACAAGAAATATCGTCACTAAAATAAAAATAAGTATCAATTTATTTTATTTTTTTAAATATCCAAAATACATATATTCTTTTAATACATAGAAATTACTAATACAGATTACTAGTCCATGGTATTATGAATTGTTTATTAAAAATGAAAATACTACTTATTTTTTATTTTGCCAATCTGCAGGGGTATTTTAGTAATTGTGGTATTGATGCATGCACATGAGAAATGTTGACAGGTGTACGATAGTGGATAAATGTGTAGGTCCAGATTCTCTCCACCGAAAAGAAAAAAAAAAAGGGAAAATTTAATAAAAAGAAAAAAAGTACAGACATGTTCACACGGGGTTCAAGTGGCGTTATTTAGACACGTGCTTCTTCTGCCCTAATTTTAGTATCAAACAATACAAATTGTCCCACTTGCTTTGGAAATTACGTTTAAAAGGTTAAAAACGACGCCATTTCAAAAGAAGATTTATTTATTATTTTTAAAAGGGGAGGAGTCGGCTAAAACTTCCTCAAAAATATTTTATGTAACTAATAGTCGGGCTCACATATTTTGAATTTGCTAATAGTTCATCGGACAACTTTCACTGAAAATTGACTTGGAGTCGGAGAGTACTGAAAATAGACAGTCTAAACTAAGAGTAGACAGCTTGATTGGATAATCTAGACTGAAATCGATAAAAATAACAATTTTTCAGTGATGCTACCAAAAATTAGTTGGTCGGCGACAGGGGACTGGTAGAGATAGGCAGATGAGTGGAGGAAATAACATTTTTTTGGAGGGAATGTTGTTTCCATGACAGATGCGTTAAAGGAGAAAGAAGTTTTTTCGAACTAAACTGCTCAGGCGGACTTTCAGCAAAATGTGAATATATAGTTGTGTTGATCTGAAAGATTATTAGTGGCCAAGAGTGTTCGGCAAGTTATCCCTTTTAAAAGTTCGTTCTAACCAATCCCCATTAGGAGAGTTAGTACCTAGCTTTACTAATAGGATAAAAAGATTTAGGGTTCGAGTCCCTCTTCCTCTACTTCCCCTTGTAAATGACTTGAAGAAGAAAAAAAATCCATCCTAAAAATTGAGCTTTCTTTAGGGCATCTTCCATCCATCACTATTTCTTATTTTTTTCATCTAATTCAGGTGTTTTTAACCTCCCAACTTAAATCACTAAATCAGCATTACACCTAAAATTATGATGATTTAGTTTTAGTCTTCCACTGTGGTCAACTCACATATCACCATATTACCAAATCCTATATTTTCACCAAATTTTTTGGTGAAGAAATTTGCAACTCCCACCTTACCACTATTTTACCAATTTTTTCACCAAATCCTATTATTTCTATCAAATATAAAAATTAAAATAGGATTTGGTGTAATTAACACCATTTTCACGTAACATAATAAATTAACATGTTTATTATCAAAAACCAACAAAAACATAACACTATAACGTAACATAATAAATTACAAGACACAATATATGAATGAAATATACATAAACTACATAAACAAGGTTTTGATGAGGCCCCTTTGACCTTCAAAATTATCAATGCAATAATTTGTTTTGGCCAAAAAAATGTTGTAATGTTTTTTTTTAAATCGTGTTGTAATATTTTTATGCATTTAGTTATGAAATTATTGTTTATGTGTGGTTTTATTATATGTATAATAATTTATGTCGATTTTCATTCATGTTTCAATAGTTTTTTAAAATTTAACATAATTCTAAGATTATATAATCAATAAAATTATTACTTATAATCGGATCTATAATCAATATTTTTAAAATTAAAATGGATTAAAATTATGATTAACATTAAATTATAATTTTGTGATATATTTTATGAAATACCATAGGAGACCAAACCAAATGCTATTCTCTATAAATAGGAAAATGCTGAAATATTATTATTTTATTGTTTAGTGTAAAATTTGCTGGAATTGGTGGGAGGCCAAATGCACTATTTATTCATCAAAAGTAGTGAAATTATAGAATGGTGTGCTAAGGGTGGGAGATAAACCCATTTTTTCACCACAAAAAAATAAGATTTGGTGAAAAAATGGTGATTAGGGTGGAAGATGCTCTTAGGGTGAAAATTTGAATGAATACCAATCAAAATGTAGTTTCAGAAAATAATTCATAAAACAATATTCATGATATAAATATTACTATTTACTTGTATTAGGAGTATAAATCTTAATCAACTAATTTCAAAATTCCACCGATTTTAATCAATTTTCTTTTTTTTATCCCAGATATCCCAGATTTTTACTTTCGGATGGGATCCCCTAAACCTAGGTCCGGCCGTGTCTGAATCGAACTCGTAAAACGACAAATAAGATGCGAAATAATGTAGTTGCTAGAGAAAGTGTCTAATGTGAATGACACAGATTGAACAAAACCTTGTACAAAACAAAACCTTCATAAAAAGTATTCAAGCAGAAGCAGTCTCGAAAGTAGTGCTTGTTACAGTTGAGGGCAAAATGTAAGGTAACACAAGATAAAAGAACATGAATCAGGAATTAGAATACAAACTACCTTAACAAGTATGAAACAGCAAGCTTTTACATGTTAGTTGCAAATGGTGAACGAATCGGAAGTTTTAGTTCGACCGGTTTACTTTCAGATACGGCAATGCACCAATCACGTTGTTGTAGTCACTTCGATCCACTTGCAACTACGTATACCAAAGAGATACAATGGAATAGCCTTAGCATTAATGAGAAAAAATTAAAGGGCAAAAAAGAGAGAAACGAGAATGAAAAGGGCCCGATCATTCTAATCTATCGAAAAATATCTATTTAAGGCCTCGTTTGGTTGCCAGGATAAGATTACATAATCGAATGATAATCCAATTATTTTATCGGATTTCGGGACGTCCAACAAAAACACTCTCTAAAGGGCAAGATAAGTCGTGATAACATAATATTTGCGGGTCGACCCGACAAGTTATTTGGGGATACCAAACATCAAACAAAGTTCAATTATTTAGTTAATCATGGCTCCAACCAAACGAGGCCTTAGTGAAAAATCTAGTACAATAGCCAAGAACAACATGAAGCATCTCAAAAATCAATCCGACTCTTTACAGATGTCGGTAAATTTGAAGAAAAAAGCAAACTCGAGGTTCATTTGGCCATAAAATACATCCACGTATGCACTATTATTCTTTTTTATTTCAATCTTTTCCGATCAGTAACCACTTTCTTTCTAACTTAGCACCAAATTTCTTCCATTTGATTAAGGCCTAATTCTTTTTATTGTTTACTTTACAACTATAAGCAAATACACTCGTTTCTTTATCGTATGTCCTCTGCTCCCACTTAACAACTTCTTCACTTCACTTGATTAGAATCAATTTAAATTTAATGCATTTCTGCTGTGTTTATATTCTATTAAAGACGCTTATATTCCCGTGATACATGTCTCACTATACATCTATATTTAACTCCTAACCGAACCAAGATCGAGTAGATTGTATTCTGAACCTTAACTCTACGAAAGAGCACTTAATAAACCCCCATTACCTATACACCTCCCACCTATGTAGCACGGACACGGAAACGGAAACGGCGATACAAGGAAAGGGGAAGACACGGGGAAACGGCATGTCCCAAAAATTGGGATACAGAGCTTGGGGAAAATGTGTAAATATTGAAAATACAGGGGTTTACTTATAAATATGATATATAAACATATATAAATATAAGTTTTAATTTATATATAAACTTTTTTTTTCATATACAAGCACATTCAAAATATATATTACTATCAGCTATCAATTTGCAATCGATCATTAAATCATGTAAATAATCAGTGAAGCAACAAGAATATTTAAAAAATTGCTATTCAAACACGTCTCTAACTTTTTAGAAATTGCAAAATGACCCATAAGGTGGACTCCTACAGGTGTCATCGAGTGTCGGACACGAAATGTGTCCGAAACAAAGAAACGTTAAGAAACTGAAGTTTCCGTGCTAGATAGCCTCCCACAATATGAAGGAGCATCGGTTTCATGCATTGTGATAAATAAATACTTGCTTGTTCGAATCCAAAATTTACGCCCGTAATCTCCCGATTTTATCGTTGTATCAATATGATTCAAATCATAACAGAAGCAAGTACTAATGCAGATGAAAATTGGTAATAAAACTAAATAAGAAAGACTGGCATCGAAAACGGGGAGTCGAAAATCGAACCATTTTAGAGAGTCTGACTCTCCTCTTAGTGTTCTTCTTTCTGAGCAAATGCTGCTTCCCTGCTCTTCTCCTCATTATCTTCCCACTACCGGTTACCCGAAACCTCTTCGCCGAAGCCTGAAATTTTCAATCCAAAACAAAATCAAAAACCCTAATCACAAAAAAACACCATCCAACTTCAAAATCAAATTAAATGGAAATAATTGCCTTGTGAGTCTTCATTTTGTAGCCTTTGGCGCAAACAACTGTCAGCGGCTGTGAATTCCGACGATTGGGGGTTAGGTTTTTGCCGGCGAGAACGAGGGCGCGAATTCCGGGAATGGAGCTCGACGAGCTGAGTGTGAGAGACGAGGCGGTTTTCGCGGCGAAAGGTGTGAGGTGAACTGTACCTGGACGGAATCTTTGGTGTGGGGTAAGTGTATTTTTCAAGCTGAAAGAGAAAACGGAGGTAGCCATTGTTGATGCTGTAGCCATCATGATTTATGAATATATGACACGGAAATTGGGAGTTGGGAGCAAATGGATAGAATGGATTGAGCTATATTTTGTACAGAAATGATTGGAAATATGAATCCTTTTCTGGGCTAATTGGTGAAAATAAATTGAATATTGGGGTCGACTTACAGTTATGTGAAACTTTTCGCATAGTGATGAACTGATGGATTATATATTACGGCCATCCCTGAAGTATGGCCAAATTACGAAGAAGAAAACTGTCACCCTCATTTTAAATATTTTTACATAAAATTTATGTAATTCAGTTATTTACCGAACCAAATTGTATATTCAGTTCGGTAAACGGTATGAAATGTTGGCGTACCGAAATATGGGTTCGATTTTACCGAATTAACATTCCTAAATTTACCTCTGGAGGGGTCTTTTCGTAAGATAATACATAGTTGAAGGTGGCTGTAATTACCCAAGGAATGGAGTTTTCGTAATTTAATCATTACTCAGTGGTGTCCACAATTTGCCCTAAATATATATGACTGGGCAAATTACGGTCACCTCCCTACGGTATGCTCAAACTAAAAAAAAAAACCATATGTTTGGATAATTACAATCATCCATCAATTATGCAACAAAATATACAGTTTCTGATGCACCACAATTTAATATTTACAAGCGAAAAAACACATCTTATGATCATCTTGTTCCAGAATGTGGAGTTCAAATGAGATAAAAACGGGTACAAATTGAAGAATATTTTATATAATCTAGAAGACTCCACTAAATTTCACACCGCAAGAGTGGAGAAGATTCATAGTTGATGGTGATAGTTGTAATTACTCAAACATGAAAGGTTTCTATGTAATTTAACATTACTTTAGGGATTGGCCATAATTTACCATTTATAATTTTATAATATAACTTGCAGTCTTGCATTACATTATGGATTGATAATGTTTCCATCTTTCCTTCTATTTTCAAAAATATTGTAAAGTTCAACTTACCAGAAAATCGGATGGATCAAATTAGCACTTTAAAAAGAATCCATTGTTATTTTTTTATGTTAATTAGACAATGCTACACTCTCCACCCGATACCACTCGGGCAATGCCTTTGCGATTAATTTGGTATTTCAAGTCGCCTATAATCTATAATAATATTGATATTACAATGTAATTTCCAAAAATAGAAATCCAGATAAAATTTCTGAAATTAAAATCGGACCGAAAACAAAATCTAACATATGTTCCAATTTCATTCCAAAACAAAATTGGAAAAATCAACTATTAGAACTTTCGGAATTCAAAATGAAAAATATTGCTTCAGTATTAGAAATATTCAAATCAAAATCAGTGGAATTCAGAAATTCAATACGATTCGAATTTCCACCCCGAGTTTATCTCATCAATAGAATATTTTTAATCTTTCTTAAATGTAAAAAAATAGTATTTGCCATAAATTTACTTTTAGCTTTAAAACATCTATCTCAACTCTTATATTTCTTCCAACAATTTTTACAAGTGAATAACCAGCAACTCCTCCTTCAAAATACTTAAAACACACACACACACACACACACACACACAACATATGCACACCTCAACAAAATCAAACTCCACAACTGCATAACAATAATATAAAGAGTATATAACATAACTAAACATAAGTTCACAGTCAATTTCATCGACACTTTGTCACGATAAGAATGCCGGCCAGAGTCAAACTTACGGCCTCGTTATGATGGCTATCGATTCCCACTCTAAACTGCACATCACATCCTGCCAAAAAACACCGTCCACACCATCAAAATCAACGACGTTTCAAGAAAGAAAACAAGATAATTAGATGGTAAAAATATTCCACGCACCGATGGATTTTGTCTGTCGATATCGAAGCTATTTATTGCACAGGGCTCAGCCAAAAGCTCGGTCGGTTCTTCACCTAATCGAGTTGAAAAAACGAAATACACATCATCATATGATTTAACAACTCGTGTATCAAAAAATAACAAAGAATTTTGTGTAACCTTGTTCAATCACGGCAAGAATTCCATCTTCGGAACAAATCATAGCAGGAAGGATCTTAGACGAAGAAGATGAGTTAATATTGGACGGGTGTGTATAGTTGTCGTACTGAACCTCCCATATGTCGCTTTCTACGAGTGAATTTGCATGTGGATTTTCATTAACACCAAGCCCGGATAATAAAATAGGTTTTTTCGGCCAACGTGTATCCCATGCAAATACAGTACCATAAGATCCTCCTGCCTTTACACAACAAATATTAGTAAACTAATCGATGCTTTAATTCGTTAAAACCCTCCAAAGTATTAGCAATATATATATATATATATATATATATATATATATAT